GGGAAAAATTCTCAAATAACAACAGCAAACCAAGAAAGCAGCTTAGTCTGCACTGCATTTGCATTTCTTAGTTTCATTCCCTATTTAAAAATGTTGTAGGCAAATGTATTTTGACAGTGGGAATGAACATGCACTTTAAGATTATAGGACCTAGTAGATTTAATAGAATGAGCCCTGATTGGGAGCCAGGGGACCTGGCTTTGAATGGTCCCAACCCAAGCACTTAATTACTTTAGTTTCTTCACTTATAAAATTAAATACACCATCTACTGATGAATGGATAAACAAAATATGATATATCCACAGAAGGGAATATTGTTCAGCCATAAGAAGGAATGAAGTATGGACATGTGCTACAACGTGGCTGTGCCTTAAAGATATGATGCTAAGTGAAAGAAGCCAGACACAAAGACCATACATTTCATAATTTCACTTACATGAAATGTACAGAATAGCTAAATCTAAGGACATAAAGTAGGTTAGCTAATGGGTACATGTTTCTTTCTGGGTTGATGAAATGTTCCAAAATTGATTGTGCTGATGGTTGTATTTAAAACTCTGCATATACTGAAAACCATTTAATTGTACATTTTAAATGAGTGAATTGTATGATATGTGAATTATATCTCGATAAAGTTTTTCAAAAAAAAAAGAGAAAAAAATGAAACAGTGATTTCTACCCAGCCCAGATACGTTGTGAGGCTCAAATGAATTGTTTTTACAAATAAGAAAACCACTTGAAAACTATACAATGAAAGTTATTTTTAGACTTAATTATTCCTTAAATTCGAGGCTGATATACTGAAGGAATTTTTCCAGTGACAATTAGCATTTCTATAGACCAGAATTGTACCTCTGCTTACAGCTCTGTGGATGAAGATCAGGGAGGAGGAGCAGTTTAAAGTTGGTGAGAGTGTTGAGGGGAGGGAACAAATGGCTGGCTTGTCAGATCCTTGAAGTCAGGGATTATTTTTATCTTGTTCTCTTTTATAATCCCAGTGCCTAGTACAATGCCTGACTCAATAAATGTGAATGAGCGAATAATGAATCAATGGTCAAACTAATGAACGAGGGGTCTGACTGAAAATGATGAGGCACTTTCACTCAGTCAATAAACTTTTACCAGCCAATAAATTCAGATTCTTATTTTAATGTTGACAGTGACTTGGGCTTTTGGGGATTTTACCTATTCCTTTACTAAGAGAGTGATAATTCTCTTTCACGTGTTGCACATCACAATGGTCTCTCTCTGTTACCCAAGCTGGAGTGCAGTAGCATGATCATGGCTCACTGCAGCCTCAACCTCCTGTACTCAAGTGATCCTCCCACATCAGCCTCCTGAGTAGCTGGGACTACAGGTGCGCACCATCTCCCAAATAATTTGTTATTTTATTATTTTGTAGAGATAGGCTCTCACTGTGTTGCCCAGGGTGGTCTTGAACTGCTGGGCTCATGCAATCTGCCTGCCTTGGCTTCTCAGAATGTTGGGATTACAGGTGTGAGCCACCACGCCTGGCCAAAAGTTTTAACGTAAAAAACTTCATCAGTGTTGTGGCTAAGATTCACTCTTCTATTAGTTGTTATGAGTCAAGGAGAGGGTTGGCCTGCAGAACAAAATGATGACTTGGTCTAGTCATGCCAGGAGTCCTGAGTGACTGTGGAGCAAGCTGAGAGGTCTACTTTGCTGAAAGACAAGTACAACACATTCATAGGGTGGTTTGGAATTAGGGCAACAATTTTGTGTGGTCCTGTCATTGTAGGTCACTGTGGTGGGACAGCAATCACCAGCCTTGGGGAGAATCAACCATTCTCTATTTCTCTATTTTTGCCATTTGGGAAAAGACTTGTGGGTTTGGGACCAAATTGACATCGTGGCAAACGAGTGCCATTTACATCTGAAAAGCTGAAATCAAAAGGAGAGTAATTCTAGGGGAGAACACTCCACTTCCTCTGATGGGTTCTTGAGTTCCCTGCTCTCTTTTCATTAAACCTTTCCAAAAATAAAAAATAAAAATAAATCCTTGTCACCCAAAAACTCTAACTGGAACCCCTCTGAAGGACTACTCATGTCTTGTGTGTGAGTAACAGCCATGGAAACGTGGTTGAAAAACTGAACTTTAGGACCTGGACTGCCCAGAGCAACAGCTATTGCATTCAAGGCCTGGAAATTTCCATTTAGAAAATAAATCTGGCTTAAGAAAGGATTTCCTCATGACAGGGTAAAAATGGACAGTTGGTCAGCTTGACAAATGAGATTTCCTCATGACAACTAGTAAAGAAAAGCTCTAGGACACACAAGGGAAGTTTGAAAGAGTGAAATTTAACTGGGTGCCAAAGCTTCCTCACAGATAGATAACTCCAGGTTTCCCCATTTATGCTCAGACAATAAGCCCTTCCTATGCAGGAGACCTGACAGCAGTGACAGCAGAAGGCTTATTTGTGAAGGGACTTTTCTTAACCTTTTATTTTCCTCCCTCTACTTCCAGTCACTTACTTGGACATCATGTCCTGGAGCTAAACAGCAGTATACTGTAAACTTCAAAAACCTCTATAAAAAATGACTTGTCTAAGGGAACTGTATATACACACAAAGTAGATCATCTTTCCCTCCCCTCCTCCACTGATTTCTTCCAAAACAGACATCTGAAAAGCCAGGAAACCAAGAAAGAAACAAACACAAACCACTAGTAAAAGCAGCTCCCTTAATAAAAAATATCTTCCAATCTCCAGCTCCCTGATTTGATAAACACCTTAAAATATGTTTGGCTATGACTTTTCATTATTCTGCCTGTGATGTTATTTACTTTAGATCATAAATCTGAAGACCAGGGGCTTGTGTTTGCTCAGGCCACAGTTTGAGTGATGCTGCAGCATGAACTCTGGAGTCAGGCAGAGGTAGGCTAGAATCAGACTCCATGTGTACCAGCTGTCTAAATTGGTAAACTGGGGGGGTGACTTAGCGGTTTCTAATTTTCATCTGTAAAACGGGGATAATAATAATAGCCTCAGATTTGCTATATGAATCTAATCAGCTTATGTATGTAAATGAGAACATAATCTAGAATAATCCCATACCTGTCCCTATCTACTCCCTTTTCTCTAGATAATCAATTTTATTTGTTTCTTATCATTCCAGAGATTCTTTACGGAAATATAAGCAAATTAAATATATTTCCTTCTTTTACCTTCTTGCTTACATAAACGGAGCATATAACTGCTCTGTGCCTTGTTTTTTTCTCTTAATCTATCTTGGAAATCTTTCCATATCAGTACAAGGAGAGCTTCCTCATTTTTTTTTTTTTTTTTTTTCTTTTTTTTTTTTTTTTTTTTTTCTTTTTTTTTTTTTTTTTTTTCCTTTTTTTTTTTTTTTAAAGCAGCACGAGATTTCATTGTGTGGCTGTAGCACAGTTTATTTAACCATTCTTTATTGGAAGACATTTGGATTATTTCCAAACATTTCCTATAACAAATAAAGCTGCAGTGAATATTCTTATACATAGTGTCATTTTGCATGTATGTGAGTATAACTGAAGGGTTTATACATTTGAAGTTTTTAAAAACAACTTTATTAACATAAAATTTATTACAGTTGTAATTTGATGGCTTTTGCCAAATTGCCCTCCAAAGGGGTTGTACCATTTTGTACTACCCAGCAATGTATGAGGGTGTACAGTAAACTATTAGAAGTGGGCACTTACAGAAGGTAGGATAGGTGGGCCCAGAGAGAATTTCAACTGTCTTTAAATATATGACATGTGGCCGGGCACAGTGGTTCACACCTGTAATCCCAGCACTTTGGGAGGCCAAGGGGGCGGATCACTTGAGGTCAGCAGTTTGAGACCAGCCAGGCCAACATGGTGAAACCCCATCTCTACTAAAAATACAAAAATCAGCTGGGCGTGGTGGTGTGTGCCTGTAGTCCCAGCTACTCGGGAAGCTGAGGCAAGAGAATCCCATGAACCTGGGAGGTGGAGGTTCCAGTGAGCCAAGATCGTGCCACTGCACTCCAGCCTGGATGACAGAGCAAGACTCCATCTCAAAAAAAAAAAAAAAAAAAAAAAAAAAAAGACATGTTAAAAAAGTTTACATATAGGTCTATATTCTTATGGTAAAATGTGGTAAGAATTTAAAGTGCCCCTTGGTTGACACTCTTCTTCCCTTCAGCCAATCCTAGTCTTTCCCATGTTGTGAATTGTTTGGTGTGTCAATTAATAATTGTCAAATCCAGTGGCCATTTCTGAGTTTCTGTCCTCCTTGAGATATCTAAAGATCTATTCCCAAGATTCTCTCTTCCTTTGGTGTTCACGACACAAACATTCTTTTCGTTCGCTCATAATTCTGTGATCCTTTACCATCTTCTCAGGCTTCTCTTTCTTCTCTTGCCTTAAAAAACAGGCCTAATAATGGGCAATATTTGCTGAATGCCAGTGATGTACAAGAAAAACAGAACCCCAAACCACAAGGAGTTTAAGGTCTTAGGGGTGTGGCGGATTGTTTGCAAAGGCAGTTGAGAGAATTCCTCCTGCCTCTGTAAGTGTATTAGTTTGCTAAGGTTGCTGTGACAAAATACCACAAACTGCATAACTTAAACAACAGAAACCTATTTGCTCACAATCCTGGAGGTTAGAAGTCCAAGATCAAGGTGTTTGAAGGGCTGGTTTCTTCTGGAGCCTCTTTTCTGAGGATTAGAGACAGCCATCCTCTCCTTTGTCTTCACATCGTCTTCCCTCTGTACCTGTCAGCAACCTCATCTCCTCTTCTTATAAGGATACCAGTCATGTTGGATTATGCCTACTCTAACAGGCTCATTTTGAATCTATTTACCTCTTCAAAGACCCTATCTCCAAATACAGTCACATCCGGAGGCACCAAAAGTTAGGACTTCAACATATGTGTTGGGAGGAACAATTCTGCCCATTCCTTAAGCATGCCCTTTACAGTATGATTTTGCTGTCTTTCCCAGTAAGGGGTTTAATCTCTTTCTTCACTTCCTAAGCTAGGTTGGCCTTGTGACTTGATGTGACCAATAGAATGTGGCAGAAGTGATGTTGAACAACTTTCAAGTCTAGACTTGCAGTTTCTACTTATGCTTTCTTGAAACACTGCCCTGAGACCACCATGTAGGGATGGATGTTGCTATAACCTCCTGGAGGATAAGTGGGCATGGAGAAGGAGAGCTAATGCATCCCAGCCATCAATCAGCACTGACTGCCAATCATTTGAGTGAGGTCAGCTTGGACCATCCAGCTGTTCTTGCCATCATCTGACTGCAATTACATGAGTAAGCCCAGGTAAGACAAGCTGAAGAAGTGCCCATCCAGCCGACAAAAATAATGAGAAAGAATACACAGTAGTTGTTTTTAGCCACTAAAACATGATTATTGTTATAAATCACTATTTTTACATACAACAGTCGTTGATATTGGAGGAGATAGAGAAATTATATAAATAACTATCAACACATTAAGTTTCATAAAAGGAAAAATACATGTTGAGGCAAATAGTGGGAGCCAAATTCATGTGGGAAGGGGAGAAGGTCTTCTGGGAAAGGGACGTTTAAGTTGAGATGTTTATGATGAGTAGGAGTAGTGAGGCAAATTTGGGAGAGTAAAGGGTAGGAGGAGAAAGTGTAGGTCAGATTCTATTCAAATACTCACTCTTTCCCCTGCCCTGTGCTCCATGGGAAGAATATGTTTCCCTGCCCCATTTATGTTGGGCTTGGCCGTGTGGTTTTCTTGAGCCAGTGGTTCATGGTTAGAAATGACCAATGTGTGGGTCTACTGGCCTCTGGGAGCTTCCAGTCATTCAGGGCCTTGAAAGCCATGTTAAAAATGATGGCCTGGGTGTGGTGGCTCACACCTGTAACCCCAGCACTTTGGGAGGCTGAGGTGAGCGGATCACCTGAGGTCAGGAGTTTGAGACCAACCTGGCCAACACGGTGAAACCCCATCTCTTCTAAAAATACAAAAATTAGCTGGGCATGGTGGCTGGCGCCTGTAATCCCAGCTACTAGGGAGGCTGAGGCAGGAGAATCGCTTCAACCTGGGAGGCAGAAGTTGCAGTGAGCCGAGATTACGTCAAGAGTGCAACTCCATCTTGGAAAAAAAAAAAAAAAAGATAGACTTCAGTGGCTCATGCCTGTAATTCCAGCACTTTGGAAGCCAAGGTGGAATGACTGCTTGAGGTCAGGAGTTCAAGAGCAGCCTGGACAACACAGTGAGACTCTGTCTCTACAAAAATTAACAAATTAGCTAGGCATGATGGCATGTACCTGTAGTCCTAGCTACTAGGGAGGCCAAGGCAGGAGGATCACTTGAGCTCAGGAAATTGAAGTTACAGTGGGCTATCATGATGCCACTGCACCCCAGCCTGGGTGGAGACCCTGTCTCAAAAAACCAAACCAAACAAACCAAACAAGACAAGACAAAAAAACACTATGGACCTTTATTCTGTGTAAAATGATGCAGCTGCTATGGAAACCAGCATGAAGCTTCCTCAAAAAAGTTAAAAAGTAGTACAATTCCACTTCGGGGTATATATCCAAAAGGATTCAAAGCAGGATCTCAAAGAGATCCATGTTCATTGCAGCATTATTCATAATAGCCAAGAGGTGGAAACAATCCAATTGTCCATTGACAGGTGAATGGATAAACAAAATGTGAGCTATACATACAGTGGAATATTATGCAGCCTTTAAAAGGAGAACCTGTCACATGCTACAAAACAGATGAACCTCAGGAATATTGTGCTAAGTGATAAAAATTAATAAAAGTACAAATACTGTGGCTCCACTCATATGAGGTATCTAAAGGAGTTAGAATGATAGAAACAGAAAGTAGAAAGGTAGTTGCTAAGGGCTGGGAGGAAGGAGGGGCAATTAGTGTTTAATGGGCATAGAGTTTTGTTTTGCAAAATGAAAAAATTCTAAAGATCTCTTGCACAATAACATGCATATACTTAACGTTCCTGAATTACACACTTTAAAATGGTTAGTGTTAAGTGTTTGTAACCACAATTAAAAATAAAATTTGAGCCAGGCATGGTGGCTTGCACCTGTAATCCTAGCTACTTGAGAGGCTGAGGCAGGAGGATTGCTTGAGGCCAGAAATTTGAGCCCCCATCTTTAAAAATAAAATAAAACTTGAAAAAAAAATGGCCAACTTTATTCTAAAAGCACTGAGAAACCAATTCAGGGTTTTAAACAGGGCAGTGACTTGCTCAGTATATCCTTGCCTTCAATAACTCATCCACCATTCCAGTTTCAGTTACCAAGTCTACTCTCAAATTTGGCTGGCCCTGACTTCCCTCAGTGTTCCAGGCTACATTGCTTACTCCCTTTTTTTGAGACGGAGTCTTGCTCTGTCACCCAGGCTGGAGTGCTCACTGCAACCTCCACCTCCTGGGTTCAAGCAATTCTCCTGTCTCATTCTCCCAAGTAGCTGGGACTACAGGTGCATGCCACCATGCCCAGATAATTTTTGTACTTTTAGTAGAGACAGGGTTTCACCATATTGGTCAGGTTGGTCTCAAACTCCTGACCTCTGGTGATCCATCCACCTCGGCCTCCCAAAGTGCTGGATTACAGGCGTGAGCCACTGCACCCGGCCACTTATTCCCTTTAAGCTGTTTCTTCCTAGATAGTCAAAATAGTGCATGACATTAATGTCTCACGTTAAGTTAAACTCACCCTGGGTCAGGCACTGTGGATTCAATATAGCAATCCCAAGCCTCCAGTGTCTCCTGACAGACACAACAACCAGCTTAGTACAATGAATTAAATGCTACTCTCTTTTTCCGGAAATGCCCTCTCTCCTTCCGCCCCTTCTATGCCCAGGAACGAGGTCAAGAATCACACATCTTCTCTAAGATACTTTCCTTATACCCTCAAAATTAATCACTCCCTCCGTAACTTATACCTGAGTCTCTTATTGCTGTTGGGTTGTCTATAACGACATTTTCATTTATTTAACTGACACATAAGTATTAAAATGGGACATCTGAATGAGAATTCTTCATTTCTCTTTGTTACCTAGGGGATAATCATTATTGCCTCTTATCTAAATAGAATTAGATAATTGGATAGTTGATCTTGCAGTGATGGAGCCTGGGTTCCACTGACCTGGGCTGGTAAATACAATGTCTGCTCACCGTGCAGAGAAAGTAGAAAGGCTGTTTGGGTTGAATTGTGCCCCCACCACCGCCCCCCAATTCATAAGTAGAAGTCTTAACCACCAGTACCTCATGATGTGGCTGGATTTGGAGATAGGGTCTTCATAGAGGTAAGTAAGCTAAAATGACATCATTACAGTGGGCCCTCATCTAACATGGCTGCGTCATTCTAAGAAGAGAGTAGGACACCAACAGGTACAGAAGGAAGAACACGTGAAGACGCAGGGAGAAGATGGTTCCCCGAAAGCCAAGGAGAGAGGCCTCAGGAGAAACCAGCACCTTGATCTTGGACCTCCAGCCTCCAGAACTGTGAGAAAATAAATTTCTGTTGTTTAAGCCCCAGTAGCTGGTGTTTTGTTATGGCAGCCTGAGCTGACTACTACAAAGGGTTATGTCACTTGCCACCATAAGTCAAGGAAAGAGGTGATTTTGGAAAAGAACTTTTGTTCAGAAAATATGAAATGGAAAGGTCTCATCTCAGGGTCCTCCTGTTTGGAGTTTATCCTTCATTCTGTGGAGAGGAATGTGACAGATGCGGTAGAATGGGGAGAGCAACCTGTGTTTTCCGGCTGGCTTGTGAAGCCACGGTGCAGGCAATGGCCTGGGGCCAACCTCACCCTGCCAGGATTTCAGCAGGCACTTAAGCAAGAATAAAGACACACACACACACACACACACACACACACACACACAGAATATAAGAGACAGACTTTGAGTATTTAATGTAAAAAGGAAAAATGATTTTTTCTTCCACTAGCAGATATGCTTAGAACATCACGATGATGTCCCTAAAGTAGCCATGAACATATTTTTGACTCAATATCATTTCAGTGACTTTAATAGAGGATTTTTTACTGGGTTTTAAAAAGTCTGAAGATCTCCACAGTCATTCTTGTTCCAACATGTAGGAATAGCTGGCTCTCAATTAGCTGTCTTATTAAAAGGAATCACAGGGCTACCTATTATTAGTGTATATTATTTTTCTCAATGCTTTAGATAATTTGGCATTTATTTACTGTTGCCATAGGAACCCAGGTCTGTAATAAGGGTTCTTTCAGTTCTGACAATTAGGCTTATAGAAAAGAATATTTTAATGAGGTGAGGAATTTGGAGAGCCTAGCCAGAGGTCTGGCGGAAGAACGTTGTTCTCTAAACAGTTACAAAATTAGCTTAGATTGTCCTTTGTTACAATTGCCTTCTTTGACAGCTACTGAGTGTTCATTAGTCAGACCTCCCTGAAGATCTGCGGTTTTCCATAAAGATTGAGGTTTTCTTATTCCTTAGAAAATGATATGCTGTTCAATCCCATCTCCCTCTTACACCTGGGCTGCTCTTGAGTTAGAGGGAATGCAGCTTCTCCTTGCTGTCAATCAGAGAAAGACTAGATTTACCTTAAGCTTCACAGAAAATACCCTTTTTAAAAAATTACTTGAGAAAAACAATTATGCCTTTCTATATTAAGGAATATTTGGAAGGCATAAATCTTGTCTTTCTTATATTCTTTGCATATAAAATATTTTGGAGGAATATTTATTAATTAATTTTAATGACAGATGACCCGTGCACAAAGCACAAAAATCAAGAGGCATTCAGTGAAATATTAGTCTCCCTTCTACCCTTGTCCCCAGAGGACAACCATTGTTACCTGTTTCCTTTGTATTCTTCTAAAGTTATTCTCTGCAATCAAATGCACACACACACACACACACACACACACACACGCAATGACAGCATGTTAAGGATACTGTATGGTAACTTTTTTTCCCCACCTACTACTGAGAGTTGGGTGCCATTCTATTTCATTACGTAAAGAGCTGCCTTGTCTTTTATAAGAGCTTTTCCCTGTAATTATTTAGCAATCATGTATTGAGTGCTACAGACATGGTGTGGGGCCCTAGCAACATCAAGGTGAGGACCACAGAGCCCCTGCTCTCAGAAGCCCACATGAGTAGAAGAGGCAGACACCTTTGGAAGCGGCTGCTGCCCAGTGCACAGTGCTATGAGTAAGTCAAGTGGAAGGGGAGGTGGATGCACACAGGAGGGAGTCTGGCTTTGTTCAGATGCTGCTTGAGCAGCATTTTGAAGGGTAAACCAGGGACTTGCAGGTAGAAAAGGAAGGCAAGTTTATTCCTGGTAAAGGAAGCAATAAATGCCAAATCTTATAGATTATAAAACAGCATGGTGTTTTGGGGAATTGAAGGTTTGGTTGGGTTTGTTATGGTTGGCGAGCAGGGTGTGTGTGTGGTGTGTGTGTGTGTGTGTGTGTGTGTGTGAAATTAGATCAGCGGTTTTCAGACTTCTTGACCACAATCCAGTTAAGAAATATATTTTACACCGCCACACAATGTATATGTGTGTTTGTGTGTGTGTAAAACAGACACAAAATGTCATAAAACAATACCCTTATTAAATGTACTCCAGTATTTTTCTACTAAATTCCATTCTACTTTTATTTTTGGAGACAGAGTCTCACTCTGTCACCAGGCTGGAGTGCAGTGGCACGATCTTGGCTCACTGCAACCTCCACCTCCCTGGTTCAAGCGATTCTCCTGCCTCAGCTTCCCGAGTAGCTGGGACTACAGGTGCATGCCACCACGCCCAGCTAATTTTTGTATTTTTAGTAGAGATGGGGTTTCATCATGTTGGCCAGGATGGTCTCGATCTCTTGACCTCGTGATCTGCCCACCTTGGCCTCC